AATAAAACAAAATAAAATTTGGGGGTCAGTAGAAAAATGTTCCTGGATAGAGGAAGTGATTTTTTACAAGCCCTTCAGAAGAAACATAGAACAAAGGAGGAAAATTAGAGTGCAGTCTTCACTTCTGCTTTACTGTCTCAGCACTAGGGAATTCCTTCAGTGGGGGTCCAAGGCTTTGAATGACAACTTAGGGACAAATTCAAGGGTGCTATCCTTAGTTTTTTTGCTTAGTTTGTTTTGTTTGAGACAGTCTCCATCTGTCACTTAGGCTGGAGTGCAGTGGCTTGATCACTGCTCACTGCAGCCTACATCTCCCAGGTCCATGGGACTACAAGTATGAGCCACCACACCCATCTAATTTTTTTTTTTTTTTGAGACATACTCTTGCTCTGCCTCCCAAGTTGGAGTGCAATGGTGAGATCTTGGCTCACTACAACCTCCGCCTCCTGGGTTCAAGAGATTCTCTGCCTCCCGAGTAGCTGGGATTAGTAGAGACAGGGTCTCAACATCTTGTCCAGGCTGGTCTTGAACTCCTAACCTTGTGATTCTCCCCGCCTTGGCCTCCCAAGGGCTGAGATTACAGGCATAAACCACCATTCCCGGCCCCACATCTATCTAATTTCTTAATTTTTTGTAGAGACCTGGTCTCCCTATGTTGTCCACAGTGCTCTGGAACTCCTGGGTTCAAACAGTCCTCCTGCCTTGGCCTCCCAAAGTGGTGGAATTATAGGCAAGAGCCACCATGCCTGGCTATCCTTAGTTTTCATAGGGAAATTTCTGAATTTTTAACTTTTTTGGCTATTGTGTTAAGCTATTATTTTATTGTTTAGTAAGTTGCATATTTATTTCTGGGACTAGTTTGGTATGTGAAATTTCTTTTTTTTTTTTTTTTTTTTTTTGAGACAGAGTCTCACCTAGGCTGGAGAGTGCAGTGGCGCAATCTTGGCTGACTGCAACCTCTGCCTCCCTGGTTCAAGCAATTCTCTGCCTCAGCCTCCTGAGTAGCTAGGATTACAGGCGCCCGCCACCATACATGCCTGGCTAACTTTTGTGTTTTTAGTACAGACAGGGCTTCACCATTTTGGCCAGGTTGGTCTTGAACTCCTGACCTTGTGATTCACCCGCCTTGGCCTCTCAATGTGTTGGGATTACAGGCCTGAGCCACTGTACCTGGCTGGTATGTGGAATTTCTTATTAAGAAATTTTATAAGTTGTTAAAGTTTTAAGGTTTGGCATCCACGGGCCTATATATCTTTTTTAAGACAGAGTTTCGCTCTTATTGCCCAGTCTGGAGCGCAGTGGTGTGATCTCAGCTCACTGTAACCTCCACCTCCCGGATTAAAGCGATTCTCTTGCCTTGGCCTCCTGAATAGCTGGGATTACAGGATTCCCACCACCACACCCAGCTAATGTTTTGTATTTTAAGTAGAGACAGGATTTCACTATGTTGGTCAGGCTGGTCTCGAACTCCTGATTATAGGTGTGAGCCAACACACCTGGCCTCCCCTGGCCTTTAAATTGAAGGTCACAGCTTTATCTTAAGGAGAGCCCTCAAGCCCCCAGTGGCCTCGCTTCTGTAGGGGGCTTTGCTCTGCAGCCTTGAGTTAATTTCACCTCTGCTGCTTTGTCTTGTGGGAGGTAGAGCTGCTTTAGGCTTTCATAAAATTACTCTTCTACTGCCACACATCTGGAGTGGCACTCTAGGGCTAATAACTGCTCCAGCAGAGGTAAACCCATCCCTCTGCCCCATGTGTTGAGTACTCAGTGAGGTCATAGCATCATTCTTGCTGCAGCTCCCAGGCTGCTGAGTGCCACTGTATTCCTTTTCTAGACTGGTGCTTGCCTTTGGAGGGGTCCAGTGAGAAAGGCTCTACTTTTTTGAGTTAGAAACAATGTTTTACTCAAGATGGCACACTCATCTCATGATTTGTGTTGGGGAATATCATTAAAATCCTGTGCAGCACACTGCTTAGGTGGAAAAGAAAAAGAAAAAACTGTGCAAGGATAAGACAGAAATTCAAAGGCCAAATACCACTTTAATGGTGATGTCCAGGTCAAAAATTACTGCAAGACAAAAAAGCTTCAGAATTTGCCTGTCCAGGCAAGGGCTGTGGGACACTCTAAAGAAAGGACATGACTTGTTCATTTTGCAGAAACCTCGTATCTACCTCTGTATTAGAAATTTCTGGGAAAGCCAGGCATAGTAGCTCACGCCTATAATCCTAGCACTTTGGGAGGCCGAGGTGGGTGGATCACCTGAGGTCAGGAGTTCAAGACCAGCCTGGCCATCATGGTGAAACCCCATCTTTGGAAAAAAAAAAGAAAGAATTTTCTAGGAAAGATGAATTTTTTTTATTTTTTTATTTTTTTTTAGAACATCCGGCCTGGCATGGCGGCTCACGCCTGTAATCCCAGAACTTTGGGAGGCTGAGGTGGGCAGATCACGAGGTCAAGAGCTCGAGACCATCCTGGCCAACATGGTGAAACCCCGTTTCAACTAAAAAATATTAAGGCCAGGTGCAGTGGCTCACGCCTATAATCCCAGCACTTTGGGAGGCCGAGGCAGGTGGATCACGAGATCAAGAAATCGAGACCATCCTGGTCAACAAGGTGAAACCCCGTCTCTACTAAAAATACAAAAATTAGCTGGGCGTGGTGGTGCGCGCCTGTAGTCCCAGCTACTCGGGAGGTTGAGGCAGGAGAATTGCTTGAACCCAGGAGGCGGAGGTTGCAGTGAGCCGAGATCGTGCCATTGCACTCCAGTCTGGATAACAACAGCGAAACTCCGTCTCAAAAATATATATATATATAAATTAGCTGGACGTGGTGGCGTGCTCCTGTAGTCCCAGCTACTCGGGAGGCTGAGGCAGGAGAATTGCTTGAACCCACTAGGAAGAGATTGCAGTGAGCCAAGATGGCGCCACTGCACTCCAGACTGGCGCCTGGCGACAAAACAAGACTCTTCCTTAAAAAAAAAAAAAAAAGTGGGTTTTGGAATTATTAAAAAATGAGAACAAACGAGAATTTGTATTATATAGATGTGATAGAAAGTCTCAAATCACATTTACATAACAATTTTTTTTTAGACCGTGTCTTGCTCTGTTACCAAGTCTAGAGTGAAGTGACGGGATCTCCGCTAACTGCAACCTTTGCCTCCCGGAATCAAGTGATTCTCCTGCCTCAGCCTCATAAGTAGCTGGATTAGTGGCTCACGCCTGTAATACCAGCACTTCAGGAGGCCAAGGTGGGTGGATTTCCTGAGTTCAGGGGTTTTTGAGACCAGCCTGGGCAACACGGTTGAAACCCTGTCTCCAATAAACAAACAAAATTTTAAAATAATCAAAAACTAGAAATGAGGGCCAGGCATAGTAGCTCATGCCTGTAATCAATCCCAGCACTTTGTGGGAGGTCAAGGTAAGCGGATCCCTGGAGCCCAGGAGTTTAAGACCAGCCTGGGTAACATAGTGAAAATTTGTCTCTACAAAATAACAAAAATTAGTCAGGCATGGTGGCATGCGCCTGTGGTCCCAGCAACTCAAGAGGCTGAGGTGGGAGGATTGCTTGAACCCAGGAGGTGGAGGTTGCAATGAGCTGAGATCACACTAGTGCACTCCAGCCTGGATGACAGAGTGAGACCTTGTCTCCCAAAAAAAAAAAAAAAAAAAAAATTGAAGTGAAAATTAAGCTACTGAAAGGAAAACATGCTGTATAACATTTGTTTACTCTGAATGACCCCATTGGCCTAACTATGTTCCAATTTATACTCAGTTTTCCATAAGGGAAATAGCAATTGCTCAGTTACCTTTGCAGGAGGAAAAAGTATCAGTGGAAGTACTAATGTACTTGGCAGAACATTACCAGAGGGAAGCAGCAGAGAACAAAGTTTTTTATGTTTTTTTGAGACAGTCTCACTGTTGTTGCCCAGGCTGGATGGCAGTGGTGCAATCTCAGCTCACTGCAGCCTCCGCCTTCTAGGTTCAAGCGACTCTCCTGCCTCACCCTCCTGAGTAGCTGGGATTACAGGACGGCACCACCACGCTCAGCTAATTTTTATATTTTTAGTAGACATGGAGTTTTGCCATGTTGGCCATCCTGGTCTTGAACTCTTGACCTCAAGTGATCCACCTGCCTTGGGCTCCTAAAGTGCTGTGATTACAGGCATGAGCCACCACACACCTGGGCCTCAGAGTGAATAGTTCTTTTTTTTATTTTATTTTATTTTTTTTGAGACGGAGTTTCACTGTTGTTACCCAGACTGTAGCACAATGGCAAGATCTCGGCTCACCGCAACCTTTGCCTTCTGGGTTCAAGCAATTCTCCTGTTCTCCTTCCTCAGCCTCCCGAGTAGCTGGAATGAAAGGCGCGCACCACCATGCCCAGCTAATTTTCGTATTTTTAGTAGAGACGGGGTTTCACCTTGTTGATCAGGATGGTCTCGATCTCTTGACCTCGTGATCCACCCGCCTCGGCCTCCCAAAGTGCTGGGATTATAGGCGTGAGCCACCGCACCCAGCCCAGAGTGAATAGTTCTTTAGATAACATATTGCTGTACTTAGTCTCCATGGCTGAGGAAATAGTGCTGTCAATTAAATCAATAGGGCAAGACTTTTCCACTTGAAGGAACAATTAATAAACCTTCAACCAATTGTCCTTTTTGAGTCATTTAGTGTCTTATATGAATTCCAACATAATTGCTTCCAGCAGCTAAAATTTGATTCCATATCTGAACTCACCTTTGCAAAAAGTATAACTAGGTCTGCTTTCTCTCAGAGTGGCCCCCATGTGCCTAGCCATGTTCCCATCTTTGCAGTTTTCCCTAAGGAAAATAATTGCTTAGCCACATTTGGAGGAGGAAAAAGTGGCAGTGGAAGTAGTATGCTGCCTGGCAGGACATCACTAGAGAGAAGCAGAGTGGGAACTTCTTTGGATCACATATTGCTATACTCAGTGTCCACAGCTTAGGAAATAGTGCTTTTAGTTAAATCAATAAGGAGTGGCACTTCTTTTTTTTTTTTTTTTTACTTTTTAAGGAATTTTTATTAAAGCAAGAATTTTATAATCCAAATTACGTTTCCTTGCTCAGTTTTCAATTCTGTTACTTAAAACAGTACTGACATTTTCAGCTGTTCCACAGTAAAGAATTACAAAATTAAAGAAAGGAATGCTTTAAATTTTTGTACTTTGCTGAAAATTCTTTTTCCCAGGGTCTATAAAACATTAATTTGTTTTTATATTTTACTATTTTTTTTTTGTTTGTTTTTAAATCAATAAGTAATCTAGGACTAGCATTATGTTTGCTAGACCTGGCATTTGCTCGGTACATAAGGTTCAAAGTTTCCTTTCCTTTTTTTATTTATTTTATATTTTGCAATTTTTTCCCCATAATATTTAAGTTATTTGATGTTTAGATATTTTTCTTCGGTGAAGCACAAGTTTCTTTTCATGGTCCCTGATCAATTTTAAACAGTTGGAACACCGGTGGCACTGTTAGCGGCTTTCTGGGCAGCCTCTTTAGCTTGGCGGGCTTGTAGTACAGCTACAGCTTCATCAACCTTAGAATGGAGTGACTCTGGAGACTCAAGCATATGAAGAAGTTCTGAATTATCAATCTGCAACAACATACCAGTGATTTTACCAGCAAGAGAAGGGTGCATGGCTTGAATAAGAGGAAACAGCCATTCACCCTACATTTGCTTTTGCTCTTGAGGAGGGGCAGATGCCAACATGGAAGCAGTCAAAGGTTCTTGACCTTGTACATGAACAGCAGGCTGTTGCATTGTAACTGTGGCTGTGCATTAAGATGTTGCTGAGGACTGCGAACTCCCACAGCATATTTATACTGTGGAACGGTGCAGACAGCAGGAGTAGCTGCAGCAGCTGCAGCTGCAGAACGTGGACCCATTGTCTGTGTTGATGTGTTAGCAACACGCTGTGTTGACATGACTTGTGGAACCTGTGAAGAAGCTGGTCTCATAGTACTAAATGGTGGTCTAGGAGCAGCTGGGTGGATAGCACCGGGCGTATTTTGGAATGGATGAGGTCTGGCACCCTGAGCAGTCTAGCAAGGACTTAGTCTTTAGTTGAGCAATTTGGCTAGGAGGATAGTATGCAGCACGGTTCGGAGTCTGTGGGATAGCAAGGAGTGTCACTTCTACGTGATGGAGCAGTTAGTAAATCCTTCAACCAATTATCCTGCTCTACTGAATTAGTTGCTGTATATGAATTCCCACATAATTGCTGCCAGGACCTAAAATTATGACTCCACATCTAAAAACCCATTTGCAAGAATTGTAACAGTGAGAAAATTATGACAGTGAAAGAGAACCTAAGAGACCCCATTTTGCCTTTAGCCTCCAAGATACCTTTGTTCATTCCTGGACATAGGTCTTAGTAACATGGGGAGGTGTTTAGTTTAGCTTTAAAACAAAAGTGATAACTGCCGCTTCCCAAAACAAATTGTCTGCTTGCTTGGTTCCGAACCACACTGCCTTTATAAAACTAACGAATTGCCTGGCAAGGTGGCTCACGCCTATAATCCCAGCACTTTGGAGGCAGAGGCAGGTGGATCATGAGGTCAGGAGTTAAAGACCAGCCTGATCAACATGGTGAAACCCTGTATCTACTAAAAATACAAAAATTAGCCAGGCGTGGTGGCAGGCACCTGTAATCTTAGCTAGTCAGGAGGCTGAGGCAGGAGAATCACTTGAACCCAGGAAGTGGAGGTTGCAGTGAGCTGAGATCACACCATTGCACTCCAGCCTGGGCAACAAGAGCAAGACTCCATCTCAGGAAAAAAAAAAAAAACCTAACAAATTAGCCACATATGAGAAATTATGGTTTAGGAAATATGCAGCCAGAGGACACAAGATTCCTAACTTTCCCACTTGCTCCTGTGGATAATATTATTGTTCTAAGACCTAAGATTGGTGTTTGAGGTATTATTGAGACCCTTCATTCTGATGATATTATCCTATTCAAAACCAGTCAGCATTTTCCATTTTCCAGCCTCTTGCTCACCAATTTATCTTTAAAAACCCTAGTCTCCCAATTTGTAGGGAGGCAGAATTGAGTAAAAATAAAAATCTGGTCTTTCATTTAGCCGGCTCTATGTATATTAAACTCTATTGCAATTGCCTACAGTTTTGTTCTTCCCCCCCCCGCCAAGACAGGGTCTCATTCTGACACCCAGGCTGGTGCAATCACAGCTCACTGTGGCCTCGACCTTCCAGGGCTCAGGCAATCCTCTCAGCTCAGTCTTCCAAATAGCTGAGACTATTAGCATGCACCACCACACCAGGCTATTTTTTTTTTCTTTTTTTTTTTTTGAGAAGGAATCTCACTCTGTAGCCAGGCTGGAGTGCAATGGTGCTATCTTGGCTCATTGCAACTTGCACCTCTTGGGTTCAAGCGATTCTCCTGTCTCAACCTCCCGAGCACACCGCCACACTCAGCTAATTTTTCTGTATTTTTAGTAGAGACGGGGTTTCACCGTGTTTGCCAGGCTGGTCTTGATCTCTTGAGCTAAGGCAATCCACCCACCTCGGCCTCCCAAAGTACTAGGATTACAGGCGAGAGCCACCTCGCCCGCCCTGCTAGGCTAATTTTTGTATCTTTTGTAGAGATGGGGTTTTGCTATGTTGCCCAGGCTATTCTCAAGTTCCTGAGCTCAAGCAATCTGCCTGCCTTGGCTTCTCAAAGTGGTAGGGTTACAGGCATGAGCTACAAGCCGGACAAGAAAAAGTTTCAACAGTACCCTACAGCAGGGGTTCCCAACCCCGGCTATGCCTCCTGTCAGAGCAACAGAGGCATTAGTGTGTCATAGGAGCCCGAACCCTATTGTGAGCTCCGCATGCGAGGGATCTAGGTTGGGCTTTCCTTAAGATAATCAAATGTCTGATGATCTAAGGTGGAACAGTTTCATTCCGAAACCACCTGCCCCCTAGAAAAATTGTCTTCCAAAGAAACCGGTCTCTGGTGCTAAAAAGGTTAGAGACCCCGCTGGGTGCGGTAATCCCAGCACTTTGGGAGGCCGAGGCGAGTGGATCACGAGGTCAAGAGATCGAGACCATCCTGGTCAACATGGTGAAACCCCGTCTCGACTAAAAGTACAAAAAATTAGCTGGGCATGGTGGCGGGTGCCTGTAATACCAGCAACTCAGGAGGCTGAGGCAGGAGAATTGCCTGAACCCAGGTGGCAGAGGTTGCAGTGAGCCGAGATCGCACCATTGCACTCCAGCCTGGGTAACAATAGCGAAACTCCGTCTGAAAAAAAAAAAAAAAAAAAAAAAGGTTAGAGACCTCTGGCTTAAAGAATCTGTCGCTGGATCCGGTCACACCGGTTCTGCAAAACCCCGTTACCAAGGGCTCCTGCTGTCACTCAGGGCTGACGGGGCGGGGCCGGGCACTTCATCCAATCAGGGCTGCTGGGGCAGGGCCTTACCAACTGTCCATCAGGGAGTGAGGAGTCTCCGCTGTTTTGAAAAACAGGGAGTGAACTCCCTGTCTCCGGGCGGCTCTCTGAGGTTGGGAGTCCGGCTTTTCCCTCCCAGAGGCTCCAAGGTGCCTCTGCCATAGCTTCTGTCACTCTGTCGCCTATGCCGTGACTTGCACTGGTTGTGGGAGCCACCTGAAAGGCAAGAAAGGTAAGCGTGCGGGCCAGGGGTCTGGAGACGGGGGAGGGGCTGGTTGGAACCGGACGGAACCGGCTGTGGCAGGGCCCCCCGCTGCGACTCGGTGGTGTGGGACCCGAGTCCCCCTGGCACGGCTCGGCCCTCGGTCCCCAGGGCGTCCTGTTCCGCCCCTGCGCGGCGACTGCGACCCGGTCCCCGGAGCCCTTTCTGGGCAGCTCCGCGCCCGCTGCCCTGAGTCTCCCCAGATTGTGCGGGGACCACCGAGGGGTCATGGTGGGATCCTGCCTCGGATGTGGGGTTTGTGTAGGAGGAGCAATAGGCTGTGGGGTCCCCAGTACCTCCTTTCTCTTATCAAAAATTAAACTGAGACAGGCCGGGCGCGGTGGCTCACGCCTATAATCCCAGCACTTTGGGAGGCCGAGGCGGGTGGATCACTAGGTCAAAAGATCGAGACCATCCTGGTCAACATGGTGAAACCCCGTCTCTACTACAAATACAAAAAATTAGCTGGGCATGGTGGTGCACGCCTGTAGTCCCAGCTACTCAGGAGGCTGAGGCAGGAGAATTGCTTGAACCCAGGAGGCGGAGGTTGCGGTGAGCCGAGATCGTTCCATTGCACTCCAGTCTGGGTAACAACAGCGAAACTCCGTCTCAAAAAAAAAAAAATTAATTAAACTGAGACACGTTAACAAGTAGTTTTGCTTCTCAGAATATGGTTTTAAAAAAATGTATTAATAGAGAGTTCCTTTGAGAGTCCTGAATAATAAACACCCAGTCATTGTAATTTGTAATTACAGATTACTCGAAATTTGTTAACGGAAAAAGCTAAACTGTGTAAAATAACTTAAAGTTTATTCATCTGGGCACGGTGGCTCATATCTGTAATCCCAGCACTTTGGGAGGCTGAGGCGGGTGGAACACGAGGTCAGGTGTTCAAGACCAGCCTGACCAACATAGTGAAACCCCGTCTCTACTAAAAATACAAAAATTAGCCGGGCGTGGTGACGGGCGCCTGTAATCTTAGCTACTCAGGAGGCTGGGGCAGAAGAATTGCTTGAACCCGGGAGGCAGAGTTGCCTGAGCGTAGATCAGGCCACTGCACTCCAGCCTAGGTGACAGAGCTGAATACGGGAGACTGCAGCTGAGGAAAAACACAACCCCAGAAAGCCTGGAGTAAGTGGTTAGGACGTGGCTTATGACAGTTTGGTTTTGTTCATTTCAGAGAGACAGGAATTGCAGGGAAAATCATGAATCAACGCCTGGAAGGTGTAAGTTCCTTTGGTGGAAAGGGCAGGACTTGTGGAAGAGGGATTAGGAGGTACAGGTGGTAGAGGGATTCTATAGGTGTACGTTGGTTGAGAGTGTGAAGCTTTGTCTAAAATTTCAAGGTGGTAGGAAGGAATGCTTAAGTGAAGCGCCCGGCCAAAAATTTTATATTCTGTTTCTGAACATTTCACAGGAGGGGAAAGCCAAGAATCACCACTAGATACTTCACTGAAATAAACCTTTATGTCTCCTTTTATCTTTCCTAGGCACAGACACTTTAGCAGCATTTCTTGATTCTGAGGTTCCCCCTTGGAGATTTTACAAGGTTATGTGAAAAATGACTCTGGATGCTCTCAGACTAGTGAGGGGAGAAAACTATTCTTAAGGACTGGTAAATCCACTCCAAACAAAATGTAGCAATAACCTGTAAATGAAAACTGGCCAGGTGCGGTGGCTCACGCCTACAATCCCAGCACTTTGGGATCACTTGAGGCCAGGAGTTTGAGACCAGCCTGGCCAACATGGTGAAACCCTGGCTCTACTAGAAATACAAAAGAAATTAGCAAGATATGGTGGCACACACCTGTAGTCCCGGCTACTCCGGAGGCTGAGGCACAAGAATTGCTTGAACTTGGGAGGTGGATTCTGCAATGAGCAGAGATCACACCACTGTACTCCAGCCTGGGCAACTGAGCAAGACTCTGCCTCAAGAAAAGAAAAAAACAAAACAAAACAGAAAATGCACTTGGGGCACATGGAGGCACAGTGCAGTGTTGTTGGAAAATAGTTATTCAGCACTTTCAGTGAGCAGGATGGGCACAGAGAAATGTCCCATGTGATAGGGTGGCCTGTGCTGACACTGGAGTCACACATCACTGTGTTCCAGTCAGCACTGCCCCTCTGTAGGTTTCTCTTTGTGGGTTTGTCTTTTTATAAAGAATTGTTCATTTATTGCAGTTTCAGGTTTTTTATTAATTGAAAATTGCATTTTTTTCACTAGCGCTTACAATGTTAGAAAATTTTATGCACAGGCTAGAAGGAGGTAGATTTCAGAAAAAAAGATGGCTAGTCACAGTGGCTCATGCCTATAATCACAACACTTGGGGAGGCTAAGGAACTTAGGGAGTTCAAGACCAACCTGGCCAACAAGGTGAAATCTTGTGGGATTTCCAATGGAGTTATAGGGACTAATTTTAAGAATGCTACTGGAGAAAAATAGGGAAAGTTTACTATTGTAACTGGAGAAAAATGAAATAATTTCCACAAGATAGTATGGTAGATATATAGATTATATAGATTGGTGAAATACAGAGAGTACCCAAAATAACATTTCTTCTCCTTTGCAGGATGGAGGACTTTTTTCTTCTTCTTCTTTTTTTTTTTTTTTTTTTTTTGAGACAGAGTCTCACTTTGTTGCCCAGGCTGGAGTGCAGTGGCATGACCTAGGCTCACAGCCTTCACCTCCTCTGTTGAAGTGATTCTCCTGCCCCCACCTCCTGAGTAGCTGGGACTACAGGCATGCGCCACCATGCCCGGCTAATTTTTATATTTTTAGTAGAGACAGGGTTTCACTATGTTGGCCAGGCTGGTCTCGAACTTCTGACCTCGTGATCCACCTGCCTCAGCCTCCTGGAGTGCTAGGATTACAGGCATGAGCCACTGCTCCCAGCCTGAAGGACTTTTTTTTTCCAAAAAGGGTCTTGCTGTCACCCAGGCTGTCGTGTAGTAGTGTGATTACAGCTGACTGTAGCCGTGACCTCCTGGGCTCAAGCAGTTATCCTACCTGAGCCTCCCAAGTAGCTGGGACTACAGGTACATGCCACTGTTTTGTCAGTCTTCTGGTATCTGTTTTATTTTTATTTTTTGAGACAGAGTCTCACTCTGTTGCCCAGGTTGGAGTACAGTGGCACGATCTTGGCTCCCCGCAACCTTTACCTCCTTGGTTCAAGTGATTCTTGTGCCTCAGCCTCCCAAGTAGCTGGGGATACAGGCGCCTGCCATCATATCCAGCTAATTTTGTTTTGTTTTGTTTTTTTAGTAGATAAGGGGTTTTACCATGTTGGCTAGGCTGATCTCGAACTCCTGACCTCAGGTGATCTCCCTGCATTGGCACCCTGAAGTTCTGGTATTACAGGTGTGAGCCACTGCACCCAGCTGAGACAGAGTGTTGTTCTTTCACCCATGCAGAAGTGCACTGGCACAAACACAGCTCACTGTAACCTTGACTTCCTGAGCTCAAGTGATTCTCTGTCTCAGACTCCTGAGTAGCTGAGACTCCTTGGATACACCACTATGCAGGGCTGATTTTTATTATTTATATATTTTTTTCTGCCCTAGCCCCATGTTGATTTTTTTTTTTTTTTTGAGATGAGTCTCCCTGTGTCGCCTAGGCTGGAGTGCAGTGGCGCAATCTTGGCTCACTGCAACGTCTGCCTCCTGGGTTCAAGCCATTCTGCTTCAGCCTCCTGAGGAGCTGGGATTACAGGTGCCCGCCATGCCCGGCTAATTTTTGTATTTTTAGGAGAGACAGGGTTTCACCATGATACCCAGGAGGGGAGGGCTGATTTTTTTTAGAGATGGGTTCTCACTGTGTTATCCAGGCTGGTCTTGGATGCCCGCACTCAAGTGATCTTTCTACCTTGGTCTCCCACTGTGCTTGGATTATCAGAGGGAGCCACTTTACCCAGCCCAGATGCAGTATTAATTGTTTAGCATTTTTTCACAGAGAAAGGGATTCCTCTTTAAAAATATTTACATATTGGCCAGGTGCGGTGGCTCACGCCTATAATCCCAGCACTGTGGGAGGCCGAGGCGGGTGGATCATAAGGTCTAGAGATCGAGACCATCCTGGTCAACATGGTGAAACCCCATCTCTACTAAAAATACAAAAATTAGCTGGGCATGGTGGTGTGCACCTGTAGTCCTAGCTATTCGGGAGGCTGAGGCAGAAGAACTGCCTGAACCCAGGAGGTGGAGGTTGCAGTGAGCCGAGATTGCGCTATTGCACTCCAGCCTGGGTAACAAGAGTGAAACTCCATCTCAAAAAAAAAAAAAAAAAGATAATGGGATTATTTTTTTAAAAATTACATATTGGCTGGGCCCGGTGGCTCCTACCTGTAATCCTAGCACTTTGGGAGGACAAGGCAGGCGGATCACCTGAGGTCAGGAGTTCGAGACCAGCCTGACCAACATGGAGAAACCTCATCTCTACTAAAAATACAAAATAAGCTGGGCAGGAGAATCACTTGAACCCAGGAGGCAGAGGTTGTGGTGAGCCGAGATTGTGCCATTGCACTCCAGCCTGGGCAACAAGAGTGGAACTCTGTCTCAAAAAACAATAAATAAATAAATTAAATTAAAATACTTACATTTTGTTCCTGAAGCATCAGAGGAAAGGAAAGGATAACCATGGGCCACTCCACTGAAAAATCCTTTGTGCTTCTACTCTGTTTATCTGACCTGAACACAGAGATCTTATCAGAATGTTTCTTGGCTTAAGGTTCCCCTCAGGAAACTTTATGGAGTGATGTGTCTGTCCTCAGTGCACCCTTTTATCTTTTCCTGGTCCTGGGTTTCAGAACTAGGGCTGGCCCAGTATGCCTACACTACCATGTCTTTGGGAGGATCTAGTGTGCATTAGCTGACTGGTAACTCCTCACAGAGGACCACACAAGACAGGGAAATGGTGCCTCCCCACGAAGCAGCTCAATGCTGTGATTGGGAGGAGACTCCTGCTATATTCTTCATCTAGATAGCCAACTCCTTGGGGTGCTCAGCTTTTTTCCCCCAACCTCAGTTTTCTTTTCTTTTTGAGACGGAGTCTTGCTCTGTCACCCAGACTGGAGTGCAGTGGCACTGTCTTGGCTCACTGCAACCTCCCATCTCCTGGGTTCAAGCGATTCTCCTGCTTCAGCTTCCGAGTAGCTGGGATTACAGGCACGCGCCACCATGCCCAGCTAATTTTTGTATTTTTAGTAGAGCTGGGGTTTCACCATCTTGGCCAAGC